TGTTTTTTTTTTTTTTTTTTTTTTTTTTTTTTTTTTAGAAAATTGTAGTATGTCCTTGAAAGAAGGACTCACATACTTGGGTTTAATTTTGAATGTTACTATAATATTCATTATAATTTATAGATTCTCCTTCCCTGAAGAAGCAGTTGAGAGATATACTATTTAGTGGTGTACGTTGTGTTATCACAACTTGGGGAACAGAAATCCTATCCTTAAGGTAAAATCTTGCTCTGCGTATTCTGTGATATTCATTATAATCTAATATCATTCTTTTCTCTGCTTTTCTTTTATGACCTTAAGAGTCACATAAACTTCCCTGTAAACATTTATTTTAAAACTACCTCCTTGTACTCACACAAAAAATCTCTAGTTCATTTCTCAGTGTCTATTTAAAATACCAGTACAAGAGTATTTTGTGCTTTGAAATTTCTTAATAAGTAACCAAATTCTGATTTCTGTTGGGATTGTGAGTGACAGAACTAAACACTCTCCCTAATTCTTATTTAGAGCCTCTACCACAGGTCTGGTGGAGACTTCTCATTAAACTGGCAACTTAGACCCACTATGGTAGTATGATCAGGTCTGAGCTGGAATGTGAGCTGTTCTAGGGTTAGTCCTTTAGACAGTGTTGGACCAGGATTAATCTGGAGATGGGTCAGAGACACCTGGTTGTGTGGACTCAGTTTAATGCCTTTGAGATTAGAACCTAATCTCTGCTCTCTGCCAGGTCCTCTGTGGCCACCACGGCCACTGAATCTAGCTGTGGCAATGAACCAAAATATCCAGCATGGATGAGGGTTAATGAGGAGATGGAGACTGGGAGGCTACCTAGCATCTGGGAATAAGAATAGTCTGCTTGTAACTGGAAAAAAAGATTAGACTTCCTCTTGCAGCAAGGCCGAGAAGAGGAATTTAACAGATATCATTTTGGTTGGAAAATGCACAATATAAATGCCAGCGTGGTCATTGGTAGCCCTCTTTAAACAATTGTGCGTATCATATCATCATGATTGCATTTAAATTATGAACATCGGTGAATCTTTATTAAGTCATTCAGAAGTGCTGTATTGTATAAGAAGTGGAATATGATATCAAAATTGAAATATTTCTCAGCACTTACAAATGCTTCAAAATTTTGAACGATCCTTTTGTTGCTTTTTTTTTTCTGTTCCATTTTAATGATGCTTTAGAATCTAAAGCATGTGAATTGTAGATGGATGCTTCCTTTTGGATCCTGGCTCACAGTCAGCTTTGAATTTGTTCCAGGATAAAGATTTTCAAAATACCATTTCCTGTTTGGCGTGTGTGTGTGTGTGCGCGCGCGCGAGTGTATGTGCACGCACACATTCAATTTAAAATATCTCCTTTTATGAAAAACATCTTAGGTTTTGATGTTAGGAATTCTGGTTGATCTGAAAACTACAGGTAAAGAAAAGTGTTTTTTAAAAAAAACCTGTACCACTGATGAATCAGTTACCTATTAGCTTCCACAGAATGACTCTTGATCCTTGGGTTGGTTTTCCATCCAACTGGTCTATTGACTTGGGTATTTTTAAAAATAAGCAATTAAAGACCCTGCTAATTATAGTTTGTTCCTTTAAGTTCCTTTTATAACAGCAGGGACATTCTTAAAGTTTTGCTCATTGGAAATTTGAAACAATTTTTGCTTATTTGTCTACTACATTCCAAGATAGACTCAGTGCTATAGAGTTAGGAGGCAGCCAGTATTCCTACTTTTGTGCACATTACTATCAAAATAGGGTTTTCCCCCCTCCAAAGCATTTAAGGAATTTATTTCTATTAGATTTCACATGTCCATATAAGAAATATAAATGATGAAACTTTTTTTTCAAGATTTTATTTATTTATTTGACAGACAAAGATCACAAGTAGGCAGAGAGGCAGGCAGAGAGAGAGGAGGAAGCAGGCTCCCTGCCGAGCAGAGAGCCCAATGTGGGGCTCTATCCCAGGACCCTGGGATCATGACCTGAGCCAAAGGCAGAGGCTTTAACCCACTGAGCCACCCAGGCGCCCTGATGAAACATTTTTAAATCTTTAAGATAAAATGCTCCAAACTTAATTTTACGTGCAATTCATCACAAAATAACTCCCCTTAAAGATGAAAGTCAGTTTTGTATTCTGTGCTCGTGGTAAGATTTTTTTCAACAATTGTTAATTTTTGTGACTGCTACTTTATTTTAAACTTTTCATCCACAAATTATTAAGAAACCTTGCAAAAAGAATGAAATTGCAAACTGCCTTTCTGGTTTTGGGTTTATTTGTTAAGATAACTAAGGAAGTTTATAAGAGAAAACACCACCTCCTTTTTTTGTTATCTCAAATTATTGTGTTTTGTGACTTTAAGTAGCATTTATCCTTTTAAACAGTATTAACACAGAATCACATTTTCTTTACATTGCATTTAACATTTAGAGGACCTGAGTCTTGTAACCAGAGAGAGGTTCTGTGGCTTGATATTTTTTTTTTCACTATGATCCCAGTGGAAAAAAAAAAAAGATATAGGAACATTTTGAAGTTATATGTCCAGGCTTCCTAAGTTCCATTGCTATGACAATTATAGTAATTATTATTATTATTATGACAATTAGCATGATAATTTTGAGGTTATTGGGAATTAATTCACCTAAAAAATGTGCAGCCTTTTCTGTTTTCTTGCTTTTAAGAATACAGTGTATATTCCATTTATTCAATGAATACATCTTTATATTGTATTATTTGTTCTATGGAGCAAAATTTTCCTTATCTCTTAAAATTTTATTTTTTTATAACTTAGAGGTATACTCTTAGTTGCAATTTATTGGACTGTGTTGAGTAAGTCTATTTTCACCTGAGTTATATTTTTTAAATTCTAATTTGTATAACTTTCTAAATTTTTTATATCCCCCATAATCATTACTTTTTCTACTCTATAGGCCATAACTTTTTAGATAATTCTCATAGGGCTGATTCTTTCTACCCTACGTCCATCACTTTTAGCAAGTTAAAATTTTTGTTCACTTAATTGGGGAGGGTATGTGCTATGGTGAGTGTGCTATGAAGTGTGTAAACCTGGCGATTCACAGACCTGTACCCCTGGGGATAAAAATACATTATATGTTTATTAAAAAATAAATTAAAAATTAAAAAAAGAAATGATAATCAAAAAAATTTTTGTTCACTTAATAATTTATAATACATAATTACATATATAATAATCACATAATTGTTAAGATGGTTCATGAATCTATTCGTGAAGTGAAAAAAGATACTAAATATCCTGAACTTTTAAAATTAAAAATTCTTAATAAGAATTTTCAAATTCTACTTGATTTTGTCATTATAGGTACCATGTAAAATGTACAGTTATATGAATTTCCTTGAATTCTGTGAGCTATTTTAGCAATTAGCATAAAGGTCTTCAAAATTAATTTCATATTAATTTGAAGGATAATTATTAGAATTAAATGTGTCTATAAATGTGCTTAAATATTTTCATTCATGGAGTACTGTTCTCTGAATGCTTACACTGCTGTTAAGGTCTAATTTAGGTTAAAATTATTTAAACATAACATTAAGTTTCTAATGCTTGAGGAATAGTGGGGATGGAATATATCTATGAACTTATTATTTCTCTTTCTAATATGCAGTAAAATGCCGTCACTTTGTATTGCCTGAAATGTTAATATAAGAACAAACATTCAGGTCCCTTTTAGTAAAAGAGTTGAACTACATTAAATCTTCTAATACACAGTAGTTTAACATTAACACATTTGCTGAAGTATTTACTTTATTATGTATATAAATCAAATAGCTCAGTAATAAGAAAATCTTAATTGTTGTTGACTATCAAAGATGTATCCTTTTCTCCACAACTATCATTTACACCGCCCCCAACTTTTATTTACTATAGTAACAATTTTTCCTAACATTTAAGTCAAGTGTAGATAAGTAAGATTTTACTGTACTTTCAGACTTCTGTAAGTTTGTATTTAGGCACTTGTATTTTTTTACTTGGATACAAATACCCATTCCCTTTTCCTTTTTCGTGTGGTCTTGTGGAAACATACAGTGGACTCGATTTGAATTTACTGCATATAAGTAATGTCACAGAAAAAGTCTATCCAATGTAATCCGTACACTGAAACCACGCTGTAGCACCACTGGCTGCGCGGTAGAGTTAACTGCATGTAAGACGGACCTGTCTGAGATTCCATGGGATTTAAATATTTAAGTGCCAACAGAACCTGGAATGCAATCACCTCACATCTGTAGTGGGGTCCACCCACAGAACTCCACCACGCAAAGTTACAGTGATGTTCCAGTGTACTTACTTTGAAAGAAAACAATGCAGACATTTATTTTTACTTTCTTATTGTAGGCTCCCAGCAGTCTTATGGAGACCCTTGAACAGCATCTAAATACATTAGAAGGAAAGAAACCCGGAAACAAGTACGCATTAGTTGTATAATTCTAAATAAGATGAAAAAAATGCTGTAGTCGTTCTTTGTAAGAATGAGATGTATCATGGTACCACTTTTACTCCTACAGTTTTAGGGTATGCTTTATTGTAATTCTTCCAGGTTCCCTCAAAAATCCCGTCTGATTAACCTAGGACAGTGTGACCCCATGTAGAGGCAATCTGTCTGCAGGCTAATGCAGCACATTAGTAGTTCGTACTTAGGTTCCCTGAACTTCCTGATGTATATACTTTCCCTTACAGGGGATTGACAATATGCCGAAAAAGAGTTGTTCATGTTAAAAATTGAGGCTGTTATCATTGGGCATGAGTAAAACAAGCACAGTTTCACAGGTAGCCTTGAACATTCTGTTACATTACGGACCCTGTTGTGAAAAAAGCCAAGCCCGCAAATAGAGTTTTCTGCGTTTTAGACACTTCCCACTTGAAACATTCAGCATGGCATGCTGCTGGTATTTTGCTCAGGATCTTTTTTATATAGTGAATATCAATCAATCAGCAATAAGTGCAGTTTTACTGGATTGGCATACCTTTGCTCTTGGGCACATACATCTTTTTACTGTTTTTCTTCATTGCATGCAAAAATGTGCAGGTTCCATTTCTTTTCTTCTCTCTGGCAAGTATCAGACTTGTCTCTTCATAGGACCCAGTGCTTTCCAGTCTTTGTGCCTTGCTCAAAGATTATAAATCTGCTAGTCTTGGATGCTTACCCTCCTTGTCTGTGTGTGTGTGAATCTTACCCATCCTGGGAGGGCTATCTCAGTAAGCCTTCCTTAATCATGCGCTGCATGTGTTGTGGACATTTTCCCCCCACATATGCGGTTTAGATAGATTTTCTGATTCTGAAGTTTAAGGACAATTTTATATTTCATTATCTCCACCTGTAACTGTCCCTACAGAGTCAGTTTGAAATTTGTCTGTTGGTCGCAGCTTTATGCTTGTTTCATTTCCGTTGACAGCAGAAGTTAACAGAAACAACCTATGAACTGATCATTGCAGGGCTGTATGCTGACGCTCGATTTTGCCTGTGATAACAGCCATCAAAATGCATGTTGCATTTTGATTTTCATTTTTCTTCTCTCTCAGCATTTGCCCAGAATCTATTCATGTCCTGATGTTACTTATTGCTTGTTGTTTCATTAGCTAAGTGTCATTTCTGTCTTCTTTTCCAAGTTAGTATAAAAATTATTGATTGTTTTAAATTTTCGACGACGGACAACACTGTAGGAAACTGTCGGGCAGTTATGGTGGAACTGTTTGGTATGATGCATGACAGGACCTCCCAGGGGCTCTGTTAAGATTGTTACCACAGTGCAAGTACAAGGTCTACCCCTCCTTCATTGTGGCCATGCATGGTCAGACTTTTATAGACAGATTGATGCCAACTAAAAAGACATGAGAGTGCATTAAGAGACACAGGAGTGAGTGCATTAAGATGCCCACTTCCAGGGATTACTGGGGCTACTCAGTATTGGAGTATCTAAGAAGCCAAAGGAGTTGTGTAGGATTTAAGCAAAAGGAGCCAGGAAGCCTAAGAAATGTCCCTGCTCCTATGGTGGAAGGATCTTTCGTGAAGGAAAGATGTATATCCTCAGGACTTAAAGCCTCTCCCTTGGCAAGGCAATGCAGAATGCTTGGTGAAGAGTCAGCTTTTCTGTATTCTTGTCCCTTCGGAGTCCCCCGCACCCTGCAGTTTCCCCGTGGTACATCTGCCAGTACTGTGGTCACCAGAAAAAGCCACCTTCCAGGGTGAATTTCATGAGCCCTAATTTCAAGTCTGCATTCGCCCCCTTGTGGCTGCTGGAAGCTATCTTTGGAAAACAGCTTTGTACACATAGTTACATTTCTAAGGGTAGGGAAATAGAAATCCAGTGATCTTGTTTTGAATTACCTTTGATCATAATGTTTCTCTCTCCTTTAAAATCATTTTATGCTTGTCATTTTTCTTTTCTGAATTGGCTTAGACCACATACGAACTTGTCTTTTGCTTATTCCCTATTTTTAAATTAAATGAACTATATATAGTAGTTAACTGTGTTCTTCTTTGTATGTTTGTGCTTACCTGGGAACTTAAGTGAAGGGTGAGTACTACATTGAGTGACTTTTTACATTTGGTTATTACTAAAAATGCAAAAAGCACTCTTAAGACTTCACATTTGGTATTTAGAACATTTAAAACTGATTCCTGTCCATTTTTTACACATCTGTGTTTTTTCATCATACTTTTTTGTCTAGCAAGGTGACTGGCATAAATGGTTTTACTTTATTTTGGTCTTCTCAAATCAAGACTAACAATCTCACTTAGGCGTATATCCATTCTTCTTAGATTTTTGAAAAAAGGTTTTTTTATTTGATTAGTAAACAGAAGATGTTCCCATGGCATATGGCAGAAGTGCCAAAGACAATGTTACAAAGAAAATTAAAGTTGTTTGTCTTTAAGAAGCAGTATAAAGTGATTCTAATCTCTGAGACAATGAAGTGTTTTCAAATGTCTGCTATAAAAATATGCATACTCTTTACATTTAATGGCTTTTATTCACTGGTACTCATTTTTGAAGTTTTATGCAAATACTGTGTGATATATTTGTATACTGTGTGTTTCTGTGATTCCATAGAACAAAAGAGAAATTGATTTCATTTTACATGTGGGTTTACTAAGTGCTGAGGGTGCAGGAAACCTTATAAGTCGATTGTAATTAAAATTATTTGGATGACATAGATAGGTTTTTCACATCTGTGTTTTGTCTTTTTGTTTGTCTTCTGGCTAGCATTTATAGCCAAAATTATGTAGAGATTATTGATGTGGATAAGACATAAAAAATTCCCTCTTTTGATGACTTACTGTTAACATCCTGGAAATAAACCTTGACATTTTCTATGTTCATCATAAAAACCCACAGATTTATTTGTAGCATTTCACAGAATTTGGAATAGGACTACATGGGTCATCCATTCTCTTTTAAAATTATATTTGTGCTTTATTCTTCCCAGCTCAGTTCAGTATGTACTAGATTTCTCTTGTTGAAATCATTAAAATAAGTATTAATTTTTACTAAGTGTCATTATCTATATATATAAATATTGTAGCATTTCTTATAAAGGGTGAATGACCCATGGTAGGGTAGTAGGGTGGTAAATCAATGAAGAAAGAGGTAAAAGGAAGAGAGGAACACACGTGCCACGCCCATCTGAATTCGTATCAGGACAAGCTGGAATGTGAAACGAGCATCACAGGGCATCATTGAGGCTCTGGGCATCAATACAGACTCAGACTAGAGTCCTAAATCCACCATTAAAGAATGCTAAGTCTTGAGCAAACTATTTACTTCTGTGAGCCTCGAGCCTTCAGATTTCAATCAGTGATTAATGATGCTTTTTAAGGCTATGGCCCCATAGGGAGTGCATACCTTTGGTTCTGACCACTTAGATGAAATCATGGCGAAGTCTAGATGTGGGCCATAAGAACAGAGGTCTTTCATCCTGACAGTTTAGTTTCACACAAAATAATTTTTAAGACTTTTGGTTCATTTTTTATACAAAGAGTCATGCATTCTTATTCTAAAATTCAAATAATACAGAAATACCAGTGCCTGCAAAATGCCAGGTACTGTGTAAAGGGCTGGATTCCCTTTCTTCAAAGAATTTACCCTGTAGTGGAAAAGACAGATAACTAAACAGAGAAATAAGATACAATGTGGTAAGTGGGATGGTGATTGGACAGAGACAGATTTTCATTTATTTGCTTAGTCCATGGGGTAACTACAAGTGTCATTTAGTAAAGGTGCTCATATAGGAGCTTGGCAAACGATTTTGTGTCAGTTATGATATTTGTACTTAGGTTTGAGGATGATAATTTTTAATAGCAGGTATTTACAAATAAGGTTGAACATAAAAAGTATTAATGTGAAGTATATTATTAAATCTGTTTTGCTACACTCAATAAAACAAAAATTCATGATATTGTACAAAATGTCAGTTACTAAATCTCTGCTAATTTTTTTGGCTAGTGCTTTTTGTGTTGTTTTCTCTGTAGATGAATAGAAAGCCATCCCCGCCATGCTCTAAGACTCTGACAGTAGGCTTCCTATCAAAATATTTTTTCTTTATTTTATTTTATCATTAATTTATTTTTCACCAACCTGGGTTGGTAAAACGTAAGCTGTTTAGGTAGTCGTTTCTGAAACCCTTTGTTAGAAATGATGTACAGGTCAGTGCTAGCAATAATCTCACTTAAAAAAAAAAAATTTACTCCTTTCCAATTTTTCCTCACTCCCTTAGAAACAAGCATTGAGGTTACTGTTCTTTTTCAAGCTCCCACCAGTTCTAACAGGATAATGGGAATATTTTCCATAATAGCTTTCATTGCAGCCATGAAGATAACAAACCAGGAGTATACATGTGGAAGTTGAGATACATTTCAGGCACACGGCTCATAAGGATTTTTAAAATTCCAGTGTTCTTTTAATGCATCACAATTATGATTAAATGAATCACAGTGTACCTTAATGACTTTTCTAACTTTTAAAAGTAATGAACCAGAGGGTTTTTTTTTTTTTTTTAATTCTGTAAAGCTTTATTTTCCCCAAGTCTGGACAACATTTTTGAAATTCTAATTTTTGTTGGATGTAGGCAATAATGATCAACTCAAAAAATTGAGTTACTAGAAATAGAGAAAAAAAACTTGGTTTTAAGAACTGGTAGTAACTAGAAATTAACTGAATGGAAAACATTGGAAAAGGATGTCATAATTGAGCGAAGGATAAATTATTTTTTTAAAAAATAGTTTATCCATTGCTAAAACATCTGTGTGTAAACCAGTTAATGCTTGTCCAGGTGATATCAAACTTAAATGCTTCTACAAATGTATCCATGTATATTTGGTTTTGATTTTTCTTGTTTGCCTTTTAGATCTGGTGCTCCCTCTCCGTTAAGTAAGGTAAGTTGGCTGTTTGTTTTGTTTTGACCATTTTAGGAATTTTTAAGTGTACAGTTCAGTGGCATTACATACATTCATTTTGTTGTACAACCATCACTATTGTCCATTTCCGGAACTTTGTCATCAAAACTGGAACTCTGCACCCTTTCAACACTAATTCCACATGCTTCTCCTCAGCCCTAGGCAACCACCATTCTACTTTATGACTCCATGAATTTGACTACTCTAGTTACCTCAAATAAGTGGAATCATACAGTGTCTGGCCTTTTTTGACTGGTTTATTTTACTTAATGTAATATCTTGGGGGATTTATTTTTGCTGTAGCATATGTCAGAATTTCCTTCCTTTTTAAGTCTGAATAATATTTCATTGTATGGGGGTGCGTGGGTGGCTCAGTCGGTTAAGCGTCTGCCTTTGGTGCAACTCATGATTCCAGGGTCCTGGGATCGAGTCCCACACTGGGCTCCTTGCTCAGCGGGGAGTCTACTGCTCCCTCTCACTTTGCCCCTCCCCATCTCTCTCTCTCCCTCTCTCTCTCTCTCAGTCTCAAATAAATAGATAAAATCTTTAAAAGAAAAACATTCCATTGTATGTATACATACATTTACTTCTTCCATCCGTCAGTTGGCCACTTGGGTTGTCTTCACCTGTTGGCTGTTGTAAATAATGCTGTTGTGTGAACATTGGTATATAAATACCTGTTTGAGTTCCTGCTTTCAGTTTTTCAGGTATCTACTCAAAAGTGGAATTTCTGGGTCTTATGGTAATTTTATTTTTAATTATTTGAGGAACGGAAAGGTAAATTTTGTGTATTCTACTTTATATTAGTTTCTCTAGTCTAGTATAGCAATGTCTACATAGTCCTCTATTTAGACTGAGTTTTTTTTTTTAAGTAGGAGAAATTTTCATACATTTATATTACAACTGAAAACAAACTAGTTACAAAGAACATACATATTCTAAATCCCAGCCCTGTGAGATAGAACACATAATTTTATATGTGTTTGAATGATAAAGAAGTCAGTTGTGGTTGAGTGTCTTTCTGCAAGCTTACCTTTTAGACACTCCACTGTCATAATTTTAATAACTCTTTCTCCTCCCTCTTTTTTTAATCATACTAAAGGACAGGATTGGATTATGATTATCAGTGACAATAGTACTTATTTCCCTAGATCTGTAGCTCACATTTGCCATCGTATTTTTCAGAGAAAAATGTAATGAATGTGCTCTTTCCTCTATGATAAATTTCCATTCTGTTTGCTGTTATTACAGACATGAAGGATGTCATTATGACGGCTCTGGTGGTTCCCAGATACCCTGTACTGTGTCAGTATCTGGCTGGCTGCCTAAGATTCCCTCCAGCAGCTCAAGCCAACAAAAACCTTCCTGATGATTCTAATGTAAAACCGGGCTTAAAGTCATTATGTCTACATGAAAAATTCCAATGTACGACTGCAGAATAGAGTGTGGTAAAAATTAATGGCATCATTGGGGATGGTCTGTTTCTACATTTTGGCCAAATCGAATTTTATTGACATTTTCTTTTTGTAATAACAGGATTCTTCTGGTTCTCTTTCCTAGCTCTCTCATTTCTTCAGGGCTTATTGTTACAGAGCAGTTTTTAGTGAGCCTTTGAAGACCTTCATTTTACATTTATGTTGGTAACTTCATTGTTGGTTTTAAGTTCTCAGTGGTATCTTCATAAACATTACTTTCTAAGCTTATTTACATGTATTGGTTTGAAAAAACCCACAGATTTCTTTTAGAAGAGTTGTCAGTGTACACAGTGGAGAACATACAAATTAAATTTGTTTGGTCCTTTCTATTCCCTAGATGATCTTTCATAATCCATTCAAAAATTTGGAATTTTTGGTAAAGAGAAAGGCTTGAGTAGACATTTTCTGAGCAGCAGTATCCATACTGCTCATGAGTTGCTAAATGCTTAACATTTGTACATCTATTGAATTTTGACTTCTTGGTTCTCGGACAAGGAGATACTAGACAAATACTACTTAAGTCTGAAAACCTCTCACTATAATCTCCTCAGTCCTTTTTCTTAATTTATACTTTTTGAAACTTTAAGTTTGGTCTCTTTGAAATTAGGTGTCTCTTTTTTTTTTTTTAAGATTTTATTTATTTATTTGACAGACAGAGATCACAAGTAGGCAGAGAGGCAGGCAGAAAGAGAGGAGGAAGCAGGTTCTCCGCTGAGCAGGGAGCCCGATGTGGGGCTCAATCTCAGGACCCTGGGATCATAACCTGAGCCAAAGGCAGAGGCTTTAACCCACTGAGCCACCCAGGCGCCCCTAGGTGTCTCTTTATAGCAGTGTTTGATAGCCTTTGATTGGTCTTAGTCTTCATGTTTTCTTGCTGTTTATCACATTTTCATTCACAGTAAGTATCAGTGGACTAGTTTGAGATGCCCCTTTAATCTTTCTCTTGTAAATACATGGAGAATTAAATATACCACATAAAGGGAAGGAATTAGAATAGTTACCTCAACAAAAATCTTAATTTTTAATATATTAACTGACTATTAAGTTCTCTTTTAAAAAATAAACCAGTACAGGACAATAAATGTTAGATTTTATTTCAGTTTTAAAATTTTATCTATGTCGTATTAGTGATAGAATATAGTCATGATACCCTTAAACTGTCAGTAACCTGAGTCTTATTTATAAATTGTTCTCTGCCATCTGTGAACTATTTCGAAAGTTTGATTTCCAGAACTTAAAGACACTTGAGAAGATGTTATGTGAATTCTGGTTAGGATGCAAAGGAAAAAGAATGGCCTTGGTTTTATAGTGGTTATTCTGATTGATAATTGTCTTCATTTTTAGCAGCTGATAAGATCTTTCCTGCTAATTTTATGTTTAGGAAATACCAGTTAGCCTTGATGTAAACTACATAAGTGGAAGTCATTGCAATGTTAAGCCAAATATTTTAAACATAATTTTATATAACTTGCATTTAACTTTTAAAATTTGAAAACTGTATTGTCCAATATTGATTATTTATTATAGTTCTCCACTTCAAATTTTCTTGAGTTTTTTTCCTCCCACAAGGAGTTACCAAAAAATGGCTGCAAATGTCAGAGGTCTGCAAAGTGGCGGTCCTGTTGCTGTGTCCTTTAGATTCGCATTTGACTAGAGTGTGTTGTGCATCTTCACTTTCAGTCTTCTCCAGCCACAACTGTTACGTCTCCTAATTCTACACCAGCTAAAACTATTGATACATCCCCACCGGTTGATTTATTTGCAACTGCGTCTGCGGCTGTCCCTGTCAGGTTAGTTAATGAGTATGCACTGAGCTGTTTATTAGTATTTTGATTAGCCTTTTGTTTTATTTTTTATGTACTGAACCCAGATATTTTCACAAAATGAAAGCTAGTCCTAATAGCATATGCTAGTTTGGGCTATATTTAGGTTCACATTTTCTATAGTTCCCTAGGCCTGTATTCTCAAAGCATCAGAAAGACCTAAGCTGTAGAAATGATCTTCTTGCTCCCACATTTAGGAAAGGAGGTAGAAGAATAGTACACACACTTCAGAGTCTTCTGAAGTTGTGAAGATGTGGAAAATGATTTCAGAATTTAGCTTCTTGTGTGAAATTCAAAGAGTGTCTTAAGGCACTTTAAAAAAAAAAAAAAAAGAAAAAACTTTGTAGCTCTAGGCCCGTTAGCTGGTGCCTATGAGGAACTCTTGACACTGGTGATAGGAAGGGAACATGGGGATCTTCCTAATCAGCTTTTATAGCACCTAAAGGCCAGAAGAGTAGTGAGAAAGTGGAGACACTGTGTGTTGGGTAAAATCTCAGGGCTGCCTCAGATGAAACCCCAACTCAAAGTGGTTTCCTCAGATAATAATTTTAGGTCGCCTTTTGTTTGGTTCTTTTGTCTTGAGAGGATGTATCTGTGACTGATTATGAATGCCCTGTATTTGGAGACCTGAATTTTGAACTGAGCAATAAATCCATGTCGTACCCATATTAACTATGTGTGTTACCCTTACTTGCTTAATTCTGCTTTTTGTAATCACAAATTTGATAAACCAAGTCCTTTTTGCCTCTATACTAAGATAAATTGTTTCTTCTAAAAGCTTTGATTCAGGTCTTAATCATGTTTCCCTATCCTGGCTCTTAGACCGTTGTGTTTATGAAAAGGAAATCAGAACTAAGCTGTTGCAGGTGGTTTGAAATTTTTTAAAAAATGGATTTTTTAAGATCTAATTTACCTTTAGAAAGGAAAAGCTGAAATTGCTATTTATGAAGAAAAGTGGGGAATCTGGCATCCCGGTGGCTTGGTACATGGTCTGGTAATCTGCAGGTCAGTGTTTCAAACCTGAGTGAAACACCTGGGGCCATATTAAAATAAAGATTCTTATATAGAAGATAGGAATAAACCCAAAATTCTGTACTTCTAACAGTGTCTCAGGATGTTACTAGTTTGAAGACCACACTTTGAATAGCAGAGCTCTAGGCTCCTCCTTGGAACTTCTGTAGATGGAGGAGCTTTGAAAAACACAGCCCTATCTGAATGAGAATAAAAAATACAGAAGTATTTTAGGTGAGTCCTCTTTTAGGCAAACTTGATATGTTATAGTTTAACTTAGAAAAAAAAGGTTTATTAGTGATTATTCATTTTAGTATTCTTTGCTTTATAAATAAATTCTTAAGGCAAGAATTTTTTTCCATACAAAATTTTTAGAAAATAGAGAAAAGGGAAAGATTACCCCTAAATCTCTTACTCTAATACCTTTAATATTTGGAATATGCTTCCTTTTATCACAGTCCTCCTAACCAGCACTTCAGCTGCTGCTCAGTGGACATTAACATATTTATTAAAATAATTAACATATTTTATTTTTTTAAAAAACCCTTAATTTGAGGAATTTTGGTTTTCCCCCTTAATTTCTGGCTTATTTGTTGAGTGGCCCAGTGCTTGAAGAATGGTTTACCTATGTTATTGTGTAGAGAACAGAAGTTGGCAAACTATGGCCTATGGGTGAAACTAGCCCACTGTCTGTTTTTATAAATAAAGTTTTATTGGAACAAAGTCACGTTCATTTGTTCATATTTCATGCTATACTGGCAGAGTCAAATAGTGATAGATGATCTAGCCCACAAACCCAAAATATTTAGCTTCTGGCCCTTTACACAGTAGTTTGCCAACCCTTGGGATAGAAGAACATATGCTATGCTTTCCAAAATATTATTCTTTTATTGGATTTAAAGTATCCAAAATTTTTAATGCTTTCAGCATCAGTCTTCATTTAAAAACACCTCTACATTATAAAATTCTAAAATCTGATTTTGAAATTGTATTGTCCTTTCAGCACTTCTAAACCATCTAGTGATCTCCTGGACCTCCAGCCAGACTTTTCTTCTGGAGGGGCAGCAGCAGCTGCAGCACCGGCGCCACCCCCACCTTCTGGAGGAGCCACCGCATGGGGAGGTGAGTGAAACGTGACAGCCATGCTATTTTTCTATTCAGTTGTTTTTATTCAGGCTGTTGTTGTTATACTTACCTTCTGGTTATCCAAAATGTTGCTGGAAACTTGGAGAGAAAATGCTAAGAATGGCACCTATTGGTTTAAGTATATACTGAGAGAGAGACAGACACTCTCTCTAGTAGTCATATAGTTTTTATTTTAAGAGTTGAAATGAGGGCAGTATTTTTCTTTGTTATTCTAAAATTCTGATTATTTTTAACAATTGGTCTCTAGAGAGAGTCAGGCATTAGAGGATTAGAGGATTAGGTGTTCCTGTGAACTTCCAAGATTACTCAAAGGCAGCACCTCTAATTTGAGTTGTTCAGGTGTAGCCTCCTTCCTGGATTCCTTTACGCCTAAATTGGTTTTAATTCATATTGTATTTGACTTCAAGCAGTTGAAATCTGGTATATAGTCTTGTTTGTGCTGGAAAAGATCCATACTCAACTAACTGAAAAGAACCACTTTTCTAAGTGCTTGATCCCCATTTTTATTCATGGATCTTGAAAAAATTAAAATTTTATAAGCATTTGATTAAAAAGAAAGTTAAATAATAATATAAAAATAAGTTAATTGTTTTCAATGCTACACTGAGTTGGTTTTAAATACTTTGCCCTATTGTACCAAAATATCAAAATAAATTTTTTTTAACTTTAAAAATGACTAATACAACTATAGAAACAACACAGAGGGAACAACATAAGCAAGGTGGTAGAATAAGAGGTACCCCATCATAACTCCCCATAGCAAAAATAATTTTGGCAGCGATTCATGGACAAAGTGCCTTTTGGGGAGCTTTGGGAACCAGGTAGGAGGTTGTAAAACCCCAATGGAACCTAAGATCAAGGAAGGTTGTTTTGAGAAGGCAGGCCTACATCCAGATGGGAGACTCACCAACCTTGGCCCTAGCTACAGATCTAGAAATACCACCATGCCCCTATGGATGCATTTATAGTCCTGTTTGGCCTTGGTCCTGCCATCAGCAACATTTACCAAGGGACCCAGAAAGAGCCATGTTTGCCCTTGCCTTAGGTAACAGGTCTGCTGACCTTGGTCTTAGCTGTGAATTCTGAAATGGCCTATGACCCAGCTCCAGCCTTTCTCAGTCATGGTCTGGGAACAGTCAGTCCTGCCTGCCCAGGAATCCAGCAACAGACTCCCCTGTCCCTGCCTCCAGAGGCAATCCCACTGACCTTGGTCCTAACTATGGACTTTAAAGCAGCCCTCTGACTTGGTCTCAGCTCCATTCAGCTATGGTCCAGGACAAGACCTGCCTACCCAGCGACCCAGTGAGAGCCACACCTATCCATGCACTTGCTAACCAGCCCACCATCTGTGGCCTCAAAGGCAGACCCTGAAATGGACTCTTATCTCAGTTCTAGCCCTTCTCACCAAGGTCCTGAAGGTCCACCCAGGAATGAGGCAGACCCAAACCCATCCAAGCTCCTGGCAAGAGGCCCGCCAACCGTGGGCATCACAGCATTTCCAGCAGGTAGCCACATGACCCAGCTACAACCCCACTCAGTTGTGATTCTGTTATAATACTCTGGGCAGTGTTATTAGTGCAGAGCAGGTGAAGGTCTTTACCTGCCAAAATGAGTCTTTAAAGACTGGAAGAGCTGCTTACTTCTTCAAACGCACAGACACCAACACAAGACTACATGGATTACAAAAAATCATGGAAACAAACATGACACCACCAAAGGAAGCTCATAATACTCTAATAACTGACACCAAAGATATGGAGATCTATAAATTGCCTGACAAAGAATTCAGCATAGTCATCTTAATGAAGCTCAGTGAGATGCAAGAGAACAGAAATAGACAACAAAACATAGTCAAGAAGACAGTACATGAACAAAATGAAAAGTTTAATAGAAAGATAGAGGCCATTAGAAAGAACTAAACAGAAATCTAGAGCTGCAGAATATAATGACTCAACTGAAAAACTCAATAGAGAGCTTCAACAGCAAACTTAATCAGACAGAATAAAGTATCAGCAAACTCAAAGATAGATCATTAGGAGATACTAATTAGGGGAACAAAATGGGAAAAGAATGAAGAAAGCACATGGGACCTGTGGTTGCTATCAAATGAATGAATATATGCATCAAGGGAATCCCAGAAGGAGAAGACAGAAAAAGAGGAACAGAAAGCTTATTTAAAGAAATAATGACTGAACACTTCCCAAATGGATAGACAGATATGGACATTCATATTTGTGATATTCAAAAGTCCCCAAGCAAGATAATCCAAAGAAGGCACAGTATAACCAAATTGACAAAAGTCAAAGACAAAAAGAAAATCTTGAGAACAGCAAGAGTAAAGCCATTTGTCATATAGATAAGAACCCTGATAAGTCTATCAGCACATTTCTCAGCAGAAACCTTGCCTGCCATGACTAAGTAGGATGATACACTCACAGCACGGAAAGGAAAAATAAAAACTTCAACCAAGAGTACTGTACCCACCAAAGTTGTCCTTCAGAAATGAAAAAATGAAGACTTTCCTCCACAAATAAAAGCTAAGGAAGTTCATCACCACTAGCCATGCCTCATAAGAAATGTTAAAGGAGTTCTTCAAATTAAAACAAAAGCCTATTAAGTACCAACATGAAAACATATGGAAGAATAAAGCTCACTGGTAAAGGTAAGTATAAGGTCAAATTCAGAATACTCTAATACTGTGGTGGTAGTAGGTAAATCACTTTTAACTCTATTATAAAAGTTAAAAGAATTCAAAATAACTAAAGCTACCATAATTTGTTAATATAAACACAATATGTAAAAGTTGTGATATCAGTACATAAAATGTCAGGGGTGGGGAAGAAGACTAGGAGTGTGGACTTTTGGTATATGGTTGAAGTTCTTAGCTTTTTAAAATATACTTTTAAAACTATAAGCTATTTCATACAAGACTCATGATAAACACACACAAAAAGAAACACCTCTACTAGATACTCAAAAGATAAAGAGAAAGGAATCAAAGCATACCACTAAGGAAGATCAACAAGTCACAAAAGAAGACTGAGAGAGGAAGAAAGGAAGAGAGGAAGTACAGAATGGTCAGAAAACAGTAAACAAAATGGCAATAATAAGTCCTTACTCATCAGTAATTACTTTAAATGTAAATACATTAAGTTCCCCAAATCAAAAGACACAGAGTGGTTCAATGAATATTTTAAACAGAAACACAAGATCCAATAATATGCTGCCTATGAGACTCATTTTAACTTTCAGGACACACATAGGTAAAGTGAAGGGATAGAAAAAAGATATTCCATGCAAATGATAATCAAAAGAGAGCAATATTGGCTATACTTTTATCAGACAAAATAGATTTTTGGTCAAAAAACTATCCAAGACACAGAGAAGATCACTATATTATATAATGATAAAAAGATCAACCCATCAAGATGATATAATAATTATAAATATATATATATATACACACACACATACACACACACACACACACTAAACATTGGAACACCTAAATATATAAAATAAATATTAAGAGAACTAAGGGGAGAAATAGCCACACAGTAACAGTAGAGGACTTTTTTATGCCACTTTCAACAATGGATAGATAATCCAGGCAGAAAATCAATAAGGAAACAGAGGACTTGATAACTTTATTCCAAAAGGGTTCAACTGACATATACAGAACATTCCACTCAACACAGAAGAGTAAACATTTTTCTCAAGCACATATGGTACACTCTCCAGGATAGATTGTAAGTTAGGGCACTAAACAAATCTTAGCAAGTTAAAGAAGATTGAAGTCCTATGAAGTATCATTTCCAATCTCAGTGGTATGAAACTAGAAATTAGTAACAAAGGGAAAATTGGAACATTCACAAATATGTGGAGATTAAACAACATACTCCTGACCAACTAATGGGTCAAAGAAAAAATTGAAATGAAATAAGAAAGTATCTTGAAACAAATGAAAATGGCATCATCTGAGTGGCTCAGTCGGTTAAGCATCTGCCTTTGGGGTCCTGGACTCGAGCCCTGCATCAGCCTCCCTGTTCTGTGGGAAGACTGCTTCTCTATCTCCCTCTGCCTGCCGCTCCCCCTGTTTGTGCACTCACTTGCTCTCTCTCTCTCTCTCCCCTACAATAAAGAGATAAAATCATAAAAAAAAAGAAACAGATGAAAATGAAAAAATAACATACCAAAACCTATAAGATGCTGCAAAGCAGCTCTAAGAGGGAAGTTTATAGTGGTAAATGCCTGCATTAAGAAGAAAGATCTCAAATACGCAAGCTAGCTTTATACCTCAAGGAACTAGAAAAAGAACAAACTAATCCCAACATTAACAGAAGGAAAGAAATAATAAAGATTAGACCAGAAATAAATGAAGTAGAAACTAGATAGACAATAGAAAAGATCAGTGAAACTAAGAATTGGTTTTTTTTAAAAAACAAAATGACAAACCTTTAGCTAGACTAAACAAGAAAAAAGGAGCAAAAACTCAAAATTATAAATGAAAGAGGAAATATTACACCTGATATTATAAAAGTTCAAAAGGCCTTAAGAGACTACTATGAATGATTATATGCCATCATATCAATAATCCAGAAAAATGACTAAATACCTAGATACATAGGACTGACTGAGATAGAACCATGAAGAAATAGAAAATCTGAACAGACCCATAATGAGTAAGGAAATTGAAACATGAATCAAAAACTCCCAACAAAGAAAAATATGACCAGATAGCTTCACAAGTGAATTCTACCCAACATTTAAACAAGAATTAATGCCAGTCCTTCTCTAATTCTTCCAAAACATTGAAAAGGAGGAAACACTTCCAAACTCATTTTTGAGGCCTGTAATACCCTCAGACCAAAGTTAGAAAAGGAAATTACAGGCCAATAACCTTGATGAGCAAAAATGCAAAAATGCTTTACAAAATATTAGCAAACCAAATTCCATAATATATTATAAGTATCATA